TTCTCCCAAACATTCTGGATCACTTGGCCCTCGCGCCCCGTCGATGTTTCCGATGACAAGGTCATACAGGGGGGTCGTCATGCATAAAGCAGTAACCTTCCCGCCGAAGTACGAGGTTTCAACCTCAATTTCTGCTTCGGGAAGCATCCGAACCTTACGGTCAATTAGGCAAACCGGTTTCGTTCTGCCTGTCAACTCACTTTCCCGTACCAAATTTCTCCGCACGATAACAGTGGAACTGCCGGTATCTCTTAACACCGTAATCTTTTTGCCCGCAACTTTTCCAGGCAGCGTTGGCATTCCTTTCGTAACACCGGTTGGCTGTTTTGACATTACAGCACCCACAATAGGAATTTTCTCCCCATTCTTCAACTCTACGAATCCATCAGTGACGGCATTATTATCAGATTTCGGTGCTGCTTGCACACAGGATACCTGGTGAATTTGACTCACTCCGTTCCGACATGCATCTGCTTTGTGCCCAGTCTGACCACACTTGAAACATTTTACAACCGTAGGGCTCGTAAAGATCGTTCGACAGTTTTTCGCGCGATGACCCATTCGGTTGCACAGAAAACATCGCGGAATGCTCTCTGGTGCCCGCTTCTTTTCTTCGGGAGCCAATTTCTTCGAATCATCGGGACAATCTTTCTTGACCTTGGCCGAATTAGTTCCACCTTGCGCTTCCAGGAATTGATCAGCCAATTCAAGCATTCCTTCAAGTGACTCAGCCTTCCTCTCTTTCAAATACAGCGACAGGCTTGGGTGGCAACTAGTAAGAAATTGTTCTCTAATTAGGAGCTCTCTAAGTTCATCGTACTCCTGCGCTGTCCCTGAAAGTTCAATCAATCTGTCGAAATAATGACAAAGTCGGGCGGCATACTGCGTAGCCGTCTCACCGTCAGCTGGCTTTCCTGTCCGAAATTTGTCCCGGTATCCTTCTACAGTAAATCTAAATCGCTTCAACAAAGCCGCTTTCACCTTTGCGTAGTTGGCTGCATCGGTCGGCGTCAGCCTACCGTACACACTGAGCGCTTCACCACTCAAGCAGGTACTCAAAGCAGTTGCCCATTGCTGTTCCGGCCAATTCTGGCTCTTCGCAATCGTCTCAAATCGGTGAAGGTACGCGTCAAGGTCGTCCTTCCTTTCATCAAACGCTACGAGCAGCTTGCTTGGGTTCAAGCGGAAGCCGTGATCTTCCCGTTCGCTGCTTTCAACTCTAGCTTGGACGGGAGTTTCGCTTCGCTGTTGCAAACGGAGCCGCTCGAGTTCCATCTCGTGCTGACGCTGCCGTTCCCTTTCCTCTCTTTCTTCTTTCGCCCTCTCAGCTGCCAGTCTTTCTTTCTCCAGCTCCAGCTTCAATTGCAGCTCTCTTTCTTCTTTCAGCTGTCGCTCTTTTGCCTCTCTTTCTTCTTTCAGCTGTCGCTCCTTTGCTTCTCTTTCTTCTCTCGCCCTTTCGGCTGCCAACTTTTCTCTCTCCAGCTCCAACTTCAATTGCTGCTCTCGTTCTTCCTTCAGCTGTCGCTCTTTTGCCTCTCTTTCTTCTCTCGCCCTTTCAGCGGCCAGCCTTTCTCTCTCCAACTCAGCTGCCTTTTCTTGCTTGGCCCTCTCTGCCGCCAACCTCTCTCTTTCCAGCTCGGCTGCTTTTTCTCCTTTGGCTCTCTCTTTTTCTTCTTTTTCCTTCTGGGTGACCCACTTCCGTAGTTCGGCGCCAGAAAGACCCATCTTTTCACCAAGAGCAACTAACTTTTCGAGATCCATTGTGTCTCGCAAATAAAACCTTGCCGTGTGCAAAAAATATCTGCCTAAATCGGTCTATCGGAACACTCCCCTGCACTCGTTAACGAGAACACTGAACAACACACAAAATCGTTCCGATAGCACTATCAATAACTCGAGGCTCTTTCTCACTTCTTTGGACACACTGTGCACCAAAAGGTACTGTCGCAGACGCCAGTTTAATTGTCACACCTGTCCCGTTTATTAGGGAGGCGATCGCCGGGCTAATTCCAAGAGCCGAAGTATCGGCCCCCCGAACCGCACCACGAAAGCGTGGACAATTTAGAAGTGGTCCTTATTGGTGCGCCAGCGGACGCCGGCTGTGGCCCAAAGAACAAGACAGAGCCGAGAGTTGATAAACAAACAAAATTATATTCTCATTAACGGCAGATCAAAAACAATACACACGTATGCACACTCCACAATAGTTACATACAATACGTCACCAAACAGACAATGTACTACACAGTACAATCAACCACACTTGAAACAACGGACACAGACAACAATACGCACTACAATGCAGTCGCATGCATTGAACAACCAAGACACTTAAAGACTAAAGAGATATAAAACCTATTCAGTCCAAAGTCCTTGGAACAAAAGTCTGAATGATACTCTTCCGAGAATCACTCACTCAAAGTCCAGCGTTGCTGTCGTTCCGCAGCTCTCGAAGTTCTCTCCCAGGAAACCTCCCGTCTTCAATTGGCCACTCTTCAAACTTCTCAAACTTCAAACTTCTTCGCCGGAACACGTCGGCTTCACACTCGCAGCGGTTGCCACGGGTCTTCGCTCGTTAGCGGTAAACACACACTCTTGCCTGTAGCTCGAGCCGTCCCTGCGGACCACAAACTTCGCCGACTACACGGCGGACTCTCTACGCACTCTGGCGCTCACTTCCGTCTCCTCCTGTTCTGTCACTACGGGCAGAACCTTCGCCGACTACACGGCGGAATTCCTACGCGCTCTGGCGTTAACTTCCGTCACCTCCTGATTTCTCGTCTCGGCCGCTCGGTTAAATACCTTGCGCGCGACATTCCAGATGTTTCTTGTCGTTCGTCGGCGCGATGCGTAGCGAAGGTTGGGGGGGAGGCACGAGACGGTTCGACTGCCCTCTCCGGAGAATGATTCACTCGGTCTGACCCCGCCCCGTTCGTTCTGGAAAAATCGCGGGCTTGCTCGGCCGCCGCTGTGGGGTGAGGAGGATCGTCTGCGAAGCCGTGCTTCTGCGGGGAGAGCGCGCGCCCGGGAGCCCTGGATGTTTGCTTTCTATTTTTTTTCTTTTTACCTCGCGGCGTTTCGGCCGCCCGTTGTCGCAAGGTTTTGGCGGCGCGCTCTTGTTTAGCGCTCGTTCTGTGACACTAGCCCATCTTACTTTCTTAACTAAGCACTCTTGATGAGCCAAGGTACGGTACTTGAGAGAATTCTGATGTCGTAACAATGCACCAATGATTAAAAGCTTTAGGGTCAGGGCCAGTTTTGTTTACCGATAATAAGCCTTTTTCAACCTAGTTATTGAGAATTAGTGTTCGCTGGTCAAAGCAACTCCTGAGCCATTAAATAAATAGGAAACTTGGATAGAATTTTCACGGGCTGCCACAAAGTGATAGACATCAAAACCAACACAACAATAATAAACTTCACTGGACAAAATGCTTGCAAATGCGGTGTAGTCAGGTTGGGTCAGCTAGATATTTTACTTGAGCCAAGACTGAGTGTTCTTATTCTATAACTTTTTAAAAAATTGCACAGCTTTCACTAAGTTGTGCAAGGCTGGGTAGCTGCAGAGCTGGTGGGCACATAGCCTAGCTTGGCTAAGCTTTTGCCCTCTCTCTTTCCCACTACTTGCTATAGTATAACATACATAGATATGCCTGCTTTCATTTTATTTCCGTCTCGGTTTACTTCTATTTTTTTTCTCTCTGCCAACTTCCTGCTTCTTTTTTCTTTCTATGCTCTGCTTAACTCTTTCCCCTTTTCTCACTTTCAGTTCCTTTTCCCACCCCTCACTACACAAGCAATACTTTGCTAGTGTGGTTGGAAAGCTAAGTGGTGACCACGCTTGCCTTCAAACCGTGGGTGGTGGCGGTGCGAAACTTTACTATAAAAGAGGGCATATGGGCCCCCTAAAGGGCCCTGCAGACTAGGTGACATCATCAGTCTGAAACGTCATTGCATAATACCGCTGATTTTACTCGCGCAATCGTGGCCTGTTGGGCGCCGAGATTGGAGCAACAAAGCAGCGCTGCCTCCAAATCCTCTTGCGTAGAGTTGGGGAGGGGAGAAATGGCTGTGTTCAGCTGGCAGGTCTATAGAAAAGACATCAGCTGTATCCCCTTCAAACCGTGGGTACAAGAGTTCAAATCTGTCTTTCTTAATAAATGTTTTCACAAAAACATTTTTTTTCTCTTTTAGCACGTGTTCTCTCATGCATCAGAGTTATTGCATCCCAAGCTGGGCAAATTTGTGCACGTGTTCTGGGAATTAAGCAAAAGAGAATGGAGAGAGCACATTTTGGTTCAAGATAATTTTTTATCTATGACAAACAGCAAACTTCGAGCATAACAGGCCTGCTGTAAGAACAGTTTTTGATCTCTCGACTACCTCATTTGCTACACAAACCGCCGTTTACAGCAGTGCATGGAAAAGCACCACTGAACTGACGCGAAACTGGATCTGCATGCACAGAGGTTTTCTTCCTTGCGTGTTGTTGCCGACTGGCCATTGCTACATTTGTCACCTCATTTCCAAGCCGATGGCTGCCATAAGTGGTGCATACTCAGATAATGGCCAGTGAGAAGACTCTTCCGCAGACGTCGACCCCTGTTGAAACCTTACTGGTCAAGTATTGATGCAACAAACTGTCATTGGTAATCGAGTATATTATGCAAATTGATAAAATGTAAATATATCAATGTATAATTGATATATGTGTGTATGATGATATTGGATGTAATGTAGGTATTTTAGTCTCACTTGAGAATTCATTTTAACATTCATTACCTGAGGCATAATGCTTCCACGCCTTGACATCGTTCAATGCTTAGATGGCAGATGTGAGCCATGCATTCCCTGAATTAGTGCAGAATATATAGCAAGGCCAGGAAGTTTCGAAGGCTCTTTGTCACACATGTTGAAACTAAAGAACATTACCCTTATGTTCCAACAAGAAAACAATGTGCCAGGAATGCCATTCAATGAACACTCATTCAGACACCAAACAGTGAGACATGAACAACCGATAGGTATATTTTATGGCACACCTTGAACAAAAGGAGACTTCAAGTACCGATCGACTGTCAAACGAATGGGAAAAAAAACAACGGAGCACTGCAATTTCAAAAAGGGACAGTTGAAGAAAAATAAGCGAAATATGCATGTGTTATTTATTTTCATCTGCTTTTCGGTCAGGCATAATGATCATTTTGTAATGAGCAGCATTTTCTCTTATAGGGCCCCTCACCAGATAACACTTCAAATTTGGTTATTCGATCGTTAATCACTGGAAGTTGATAAGTTCCACTTGGGAAGCCATTCCAGGGAAATAATTTTTCAAAATGGTTTATTTGTCGACATGCTAGGAGAACCTCAACTCACATTTTTCTCTACATTCCCAGAAGGCAAGCTGTGCTGCCTAAGCGAACTAGCGTTTGCGAGCCCCGCCTTGTTCCACCTGCAGCACGTGAAGGGACGTGTTATGGTTACGTTACAAGCCCCACGTTAATTTTTTTCATTCCTTCTATTTTTCTTCTGTGTCAGCTGCGTGGTGGTATTGCACGCTCAACGTACAATGATGACTGATGACACATTCCAAAGTCAGTGATGTTTCATCATTGGCTTTGGTGCGCGCTACTTATCATGGACTGATCCTGGTTGTTTCAACGGATGCCTACGGTGTAGAGACGTGTGCGTTAGCTTTTGAGTTCTCAAAGCGCGACTCTCGCATTTGGCATTCTGTTAGAAAGCTTTGAGAATTTCGGCACTACAGGAACTTCGTATTTACAGATATTATCCCTATCGAGTGATCAAGTCCTATGCTTGTTTGCTTATAATGCAAAAACGTGGTGAGAGGCCCTTAGTAAAATGTAGAATAAAATGTAGAATACCTAATAAAGGACTCATCACTATGTCTTGTGTTGTTTGCAGTGTTGCCTGAGCACCTGCATGAGCACAACGTTTCTTAACCAACAGTCGCACAATCACGCACTGCAAGACATCAAGTTACTAAGCAAAAAAAGTATTGCGCATTATATTCTATTTGCATATAGTCCAGCTACTAATACAACCAAGCATCTTCGTGCAAATGAAACCAACTTCGTACTTCGATAGATCAATAACAGAGATCAGAGTGCCATTGATAAACTTTTCATTCTAAAACATATCAAGTATAACACCAGTATATGTATAACAGATACACAGAAAAACCGCAAGAATTGGTAAATATAAAAGACAAAAAATTTGTTCATGACTACATAACAAACTGAAAGTCAAAGTTCTAACCAACCCCGCTGCGTCCATATTTTTGAACAAACTGTTGAAGTCAGACAATTTACCTCAACGCATAGCACCTATACATGATGGCCACTGAGTGGTCAGTATATTTCCCTTCAGCTGTATTCCTCGTTCAATCAACACCAGCTCAAGAAGCAAAATGTTACGCTTGACCGAACCAAATAATTTTTTACTTTAAGTCTCCTTGTCAGCATAGAGCTGGTCATTACCATTATGCATCGCCAGCGGGAATCTAATTGCAGTACTCTACTTGCATCACATAGGCACTTGCATATTATTGTGGGCGATGCACACACGTTGAAGAAGCTAGCCGGTAGAACAGCATGCCTTTGTACTAACATAACCATACTAATGTAACCGGACAGCAACCTGGCAGCTAGTGAACAATTAAGGGTCAGATTAAAGGGTAGGGCTTGTAAGCTAGGCAGTCACAGCAGCTCGTGAATGTTTTGGTGGGCAAGGGAAGTGGCTGATAAGCACTTCCCCTTCCCACTTCGTCACTGAATTACCACACATATCTTGCATGAATTATAGAAGCGACGTATCTGCGGCTTGCGCAGGACTTTTCGTATGTCGTCACAAGTCATGCTTCAAGTAAGAAAAATGCGTAGACTTCGGCAAAAAAAAAAAAAAAGAACGGAGAGGACGCCATGCCGCATTAAGCAGAATTCGCCTGCCATAAGCGAGAGGGAGAGTACACACATCAATGCAGACGAAAAAAATTACAAGGCATTAAAAGTCCAGAACACACGATATCACCCCCTAAACAAGCATCACACACGTTCATGTTGCATCAGGTTCAAATATTGCACACAGCCAGGGACATACACGAGCGTGCAAAAACACTGCACGCACATCTGTACAATTCACCGACAATCACTCAACGTCGCGAGCACTAGTGCGGGCCCGGCACTTCAACAAACCGCACACCACATCCCTTCTCACTTGGTCACCACATTCATTCCTCATATTGGTAAAGACTGGAAAGGACTTCCCGCGCACAAGTGTTGCCACCCTTTTCCTGTCCTCATTCCAAGGGTATGCCATCAAACACTTTGCATAAATCTAAAGATAAGTGAATGACGTGTAATATATATGAGCTCGTTCCTAAAATAATGCCCCCCTTAGCAGGTCTCTTCACAACATACTGAAACACAAATCATGCCCGTTACAGGTGGGATTGTAAATCTCATTAGGAGATGGCAATGTGTCTTTTTTTTTTCCCCATACTGTTGTAGCGCACACAGAAAAGTAGGTTCTCTATCGAGCAAAAAACAGACAACTTCTTTTATCACGCTCAAGTCCAAGCAGATCTTAATGTGCTCCACACGATTATATGCCCATCCGGCATTAATTATGATGCACGGTCTGCAACTGCATCAAGTTCGCATGACATGATTCCAAGGCACTCAGTATTACATTACAGGAAAGCAAACTTTAAGAAAATTTTTGCTTTTGTTCAAGATTCAGTAAATAATTTGAGTCAGCACGTAATTAAATATCCAATTATTCTGCAATCAGTCAACTTAAAGTTCCTGTATAGAAAGAATGAAATATTCCACACGAAATGCACGTGCAGTTTGTTTTTGGGGTTGTATTTGTTCCAAGCAAAAAATACTCCGCATGTTAGTGTTGGTATGTGGCATATCAAACGAACCTCACCAAGGTAGCCTCTCTTGCAAAGTGATATTCTGCAGCAATATGCAGCCCTAACAATGACTGCTAGTTGTCAACTCTGCAAGCCGGCACAAATGTGCACCCTAGGTTTGAAGCTATTTGAAGAAACGCATGGCGGGTGATGCGGCTCCAAACTTGACATTCACAGGTGTACACACTGTTGCTCAAGACGATATGTATAAGATTACAAGCGCCCTGCCCGAACAAAAACAAGACTATTAACCTATATCAACAACTTTTAAAAGAAAGCGCCCCCAAAGCCCTTTTTCATGAGTTCTGTAAGATACGTCTAACTAAAAATTATTTTATTCAAAAAATTATTACTAAATAAAACTAAAAATGGTTCTTAATGCTAACTAGCATCAATGGGTATGGAACAACACGTTTCATCAAGAGTTGAACAGCTGTCTGTGACCTTAATACATGTACACGAGTTAAATGTCAGCCCGCTCCAGGTCCCTGAACTGCTGTTGACTTTATATGCAAGTGACAAAAGTTCATTTTCATTGTAATGGGCTCATACGTATGCACATTTGCTATCAGCATTGCCAGTTCTCCATTTGAGGTTCCAGCAATAAAACCTCGTCTATTATCGTGGGAGGGAAATGCGATGCATGCACCGAGTAAGCTTTAAAAAAAAAAAGTTTATCATGAAAGAGTTTGAAAATCCATGAAAAAGTTTATAATTATATTTTGAGGAAGTTTAATAAGATGAAATATAATCCCATGCATAGCAACTGAAGCGCCTGTCCTATGAAGCCACTGACTGCCCTTCGAGTGCATTCCAAGGCTACAGCAGAATAGTTTTGAACAAGGTTATTCTGAATAATGGCAAACCTGATGATTTTATGCAGTGCCCAAAGGTTCACTGTTAGTTAATAGGACAGTTAAGTGAGACAATGAACCAATTTGTATGAATATATACTTCTTTAAAAACACTACTGTCTATAATATCACCAGCATAGGTTTACTTACAGAAGATAAAATGAAGGTCAAAGTATCATATTGTAAAGGGGCACTGACACGAAAACTTTGGCCTCACGTTTTTTTGCTGCAATGTGTTGATGGGACCTGTTAGCCATGACAAGGCAAATCATTTACTGCAGAATGCAACAGACAATTAATTACAGGCTCTTTATTATCGACCAGTTTCAGTTTCGGTCTGAGAGAGCACCAAAAACTACAAGCCGCAGGATGCAACTATCGCAACCTAGCGTGAGCAGCTCTCGACCATGTCAGCACACAGAGCTGTGATGCATCTTCACATGGTCCACATCAAGAAGTCCTTTTGAATAGGAAACGAGAATGCAGTGTCACCAAACACGTAACTTCCAACATGTGCGCCATGGCCATGCACTGGCGACTAGCCGCTGAGAAGTACAAACTGCTGGAACAAACGTGGCAAAATGAAAATTGCGGCTGTGACGTCATCATAATTTGTTTTATTGACTGCAGCTTGGTGACTTGAGGGAAGTAAGGGGTCCTCATGGGGTATCTTTTGTTGGTGTATATCTTCCAAATTCAATGTTCAAGCACTAAAATACCTTCAAAGCTATATTCACTGTCGATATTTTGCAGATGATATATGCATGTTCACGAGAATCGATCTTGCAGGCTATTTCGGCCAAGAAACTTCGTCGGTACTTCTCCCCTCCCTCTCTTAAAATTTTTTGCTGAAACCTTTCCACAAGATTACCAGCACAACGTGAGAGAGATCAATGTGTTTGTTTTGGCTACATTGAGTCAACGAAATTTTCCGAAGCTTGGTAAATTTAACCTATGGCCTGTTCAGAGGACAGTTTGGTGGTGAATATCTTCCAAATTCAATGTTCAAGCACTAAAATACTTTCCAAGCTATATTCACTGTCGATATTTTGCAGATGATATATGCATATTCATGAGAATCGATCTTGCAGGCTATCTCGGCCAAGAAATTTCGTCAGTACCTCCCCCCTAAACTTTTTTGCTGAAACCTTTGCACGAGAATACCAGCACAATGTGAGAGATCAATGTGTTTGTTTTGGCTACACTGAGTCAACAAAATTTTCTGAAGCTTGGTAAATTTAACCTATGGCCTCTTCGGAGGACAGTTTAGTTTGATTTTGTTAGCAATGTGAGCGCCCTAGCAGACGCTGTGAAAATGTATGACATTAGAACAATTTAGTACAGGAATTTCAAGGTGGCTCCGCCACCTGCAGTTTCCTTTCATGTGTTTTCTTGCTTACCAGGCATTTTCTCGCAGCAAGCGTTACGACTTCGGCATTGCAAAAGAGTACTTGGCAGATACAAGAAAAATTGTTTTTATCCTTCGTGTCCCTTTAACAATCATAGTGCCTCTGCGACACCAAAGGGTTCCTTCGGATACACAATTATGGCACTTTAACATGCAGCCTGTCGACAACAGACGAATAACACCCTGAAAAACTATCTACATATGGCAGCTGTTTGGCAATTCATTACACGTAGTGCTGCAAACAATGTGAGCCCAAAGTGACAGGCGAGAAATTCAGCCAACAAAGTGCGCCACAGCGACGAACACTGTTACATCATCTCTAGTGTGGCAAATTACAAAATACACATGTGCTAAAAGCAAAAAAAAAAAAGAAAGAGGTGACTACAGCACCAGATGGTGTAAGAAAACGAGGGCCAAGTCAACACTCAGTAAACTGCACATGTCAGTCATGTTACCGGTAATTCACACCACGGCGTGTCAGTACGATTGCAAAACAGTCTTACATCGAGCACATCCACGGGTGCCCCATCAATTTTCAGCTTGTGCCTAGCCTTAACCTGGTACCGTATGTCACGTAGGCCAGTTCGACGGTCCCTACGGCGATTCTCACGTCTCTGGTCAGCTGTCCGTGCCGTGTCCCTAGGCCGGCGTCTGCGGTCGTGCAGGTGACGGAACGTGTCTTTTTTGCCCGTTGTGATGCCAACAGGCCGCGTAACGTTGAGGCCAGCCTCGCGGATGCGCGCATAGAATTCGTCGTCTTCGAGTCCCCAACCCCAGTAGCGATTTGAGATGCCATTCAACTGGCGGAAGCGAGCAGTGCTCAACAGAAGGATGCCACCAACAAAAGTTGGGTAGTGGTACCGCGGGTGCAGGCCTGGTGCAGCAAGGTGGTGCGGTCCACCATTGGGAGGGAATGCATAGCTCAGCTGAGGGTTAAGTGGCAGAAGGTCGACGTCGTGCATGGCAACATAGTCGCAGTCGGCCTCACTCTCCAAGAAGCCGGCATTGATGAGTGAACCACGGTTGAATCGCAACGTGTCAATCTGTGAAATAAGACAAGGCTATCTCATCACACAGCTGACAATAATTCCTGTATAACAACGGGAAACAGAGAAACGTATCCGTTTCTGTCAACACTTGGTGACTATACGGGTAAACAGCAAAGGCAATTGACAGAAAACTGCAGTGCACTCGCTGTCCTTGCAACAATAACAGTGCAACTTTCAAAATGCTAGTGTTGAAAGCCCTTCGCCTCACACAAGACATCATAGGAATGAGTGAATGTAGTTGGCAAGTCTCGTAAAAGTTGGTTATGAAAAGTGCAGATAAAATTTGGCATGTGTTGCAATGCCTAGCTTGCCACGGGCTAGGAAAGTCTCCCTTCAACTTGCCGTCCAATGATTTCTTTATTTCTTCTCACAATAACTAGGAGAACACTACTAATATTCTGACGAAACTTACAATTGAGAGTTTCTATAGCACATCTAACAACTCCAGGTTGCTACAAGGGAATTATATGTATCGGCATTCACCGCACGGTTCTCCTTTGCTGGCTGTTCAGTGCGCGAAATTGCTGACGGGAGCGCGCTCAAAGCTTGGACTAAGTGGCCGCAGAAACAAATGACGTCGCAGACACAGCTCTGAAAAGCAGGCGGCTGCGTAGACGTGCAATTTTAAACTTTCGCACGGCGTGAGACCGCGAAATTCGGCGGCACGAGTAAAACCATCGCGCGCGCTGACTTTCGTTCATAGAACTCAGTGGACTTTGGAGGATTTACCTGGTTCACCACGACCAGCCGGTGCCGAATCCTCTGCTTGCGCAGAAAGCGATGCAAGTGGGGCGCCAGCCGGAGTAGTTCGTCGAAGCGATCGCGAAACGGAATGATCACGGCTAGTCGGTGCCCTCCCGCGCTTCCGAGCTCATAGTCGTCTTCTTCGTCACTAACGCTGCACACCGTTGGTGAACGCAGCACCAGCGCAAACGGCACAAGCAGCGTGCACAGCAAGCCGCACAATAGCAGCGCCAGCGATACGCGCCGCCCGTGTACCATCGCGATGTCTCGCCGACCGACACAGCGCTGCAGCAGCGCGCCGGCTGCGGCCTGACGCCGTTGTCATGCAGAATGTCGCGCGTACGGGACGCTTGCGCCGTGCCGGTCGACACCAGGCAACGATCGCAGCATTGCGGTATTATTTCATTCGTCCCAGCTCCAGTGTCTCGGGCCGCTTGGACGCCATACCACAGGACACCTACCCATACCAACCATTGAAAATTCCTACAAACGAAAATTAGTTGGGGCTGTCCAGCCGCATGTTCTATGGCCGCAGCACACAGCGATCTTTTTATGAATCCCGCTATAACAAATGTGGCGCTGCGTTGCCTAACGGTCTAAAGTTGCTGGTTTTGGTTGTTATCGTCTTGGAGTTAATATACTGACGTAATTTGTATAGAAACTCTATGGTTGTCACAAATTATGTAATACACTGGCTGTGAACTAAAAACCGAAGTTTTTTACACTACCTTGAATTCTAAAGGTTGATTTTGGTGAGAGGTGCACTTCTAAACGTTTTTTTTTTTTTTTTTGTCCGAGCGATGAACCTGGTCAATGACAATCTAAAGTTTGATAATCTTTGTAGTGCCACAAACACGTAGTCAATGGGCTATGAATGGAGAGAGAAAGAAAGTAAATTTTGACCAGTTGGTGAATCGGCAACAAGGCGGAAAATCGGCAACACTGGACTTTTCCGCCAATTTGTGCTCTTCACGGTTGCAAAATTGTCTGCTAGTCAACCTAATTTAAAAACGTTGCTGCTAGTGCAAAGGAGAGAGAGAGAAACAATTTATTAGAAGGCAGAGAGGTCGGCCTGAGCTAGTTCGTTCTAGCCTGCTACTCTACACAGGGGATAAGGGGAAGGAAAGAGGGATGAAGGGTGATGATGGGGACAAGAAGAGAAGTTTGACAGCATGTCGATGACGGAACTTTCTGACTGAGAAAATGGTGCCGTTTCTTTTGACGCCCAGCGCTGAATCGTAAACGGATTTCACTGTGTCACAAATCAACGAGAAGACAATGTCGAAGCTCTGCACTTTCTTAAGAACTTAGTTCACGGCAAGAGGCAGGCGCAATGCTGGCAACGCTTCGCAAATCCGGGCTGGTGTTCTGCAGTACCATGCGTTTCTGATGGGAAGTAGGCGTTCAAGTAAATTGTTTGTTGCGGAGGAGATGTAACTGTCGAACTTCCACAGTAAGCTATAGATCACGCTACAAGTGCATCTCCGCAGTGTTTACCAATCGATTAATAACGCGTGCATCAAAACCACATTGTTCCTGCGCAACTATAGTGCGCAACGCTGTGCTGCCCATGCTGCTTAAATTTCCTTGGCTCGTTAATTTTTTTGCCACACAGACATCTCGGTGCCTGGAAGACAATGGACTCTACCCGCACACCATGATTAGTTTTCGGGCCAAGCTTTCGACGCAAGACGCTATGAAGCTGCTCAAGCACCAAGTCATCGACTGCAACACTCGAGACATGCGGGCCATTCTCGGCCTCGACTTAGAGAAAGTCTTCGACAACGTTACTCACTCTTTCGTGTTGCGGTCGATTGCTCACCTCGGCCTTGGAGTCAGATTCTACGAATATGTCAAATCGTTCTTGACCCGTAGGAGAGCCACCCTCAGTGTGGGAGACCTTGTCTCCGAGGAGATCGAGCTGGGATCGCGCGGCACGCCACAAGGGTCAGTGATATCGCCCACCCTGTTCAACCTTGTCATTGTCTGGTTGTCCAAGAGGCTCTCATGTATCGAAGGCATTAACCACACAATTTACGCGGACGATATTACCATTTGGTGCACAGGTGGCAGCGACAGCAAGTCGAGCGCTCCCTGCAGGAGGCCATAGACACCACGGAAGATTACCTTCGTCCCACAGGCCTGAGGTGTTCCCCAAGCAAGTCCGAGCTCCTCCTCTACCAACCCACTAGGCGAGGGCCCAAGCCCAAAAACTGGCAGCTGATCTCGAAGAGTGATATCAAGCTCTACACCGGAGATGGCAGCGCAATACCCAGAGTCGACTCCATTCGGGTCCTCGGCATGACCATCGAGTCCAATGGTTCCAACGGCAAGACTATACTCAAGCTCGCCGCCAAGACGGATAACGCGGTTTGGCTGGTTCGGCTGGTGGCCAACCGCTACGAAGACCTCAAGGAAGACAACCTAATCCACCTGGTCAATGCCTTTGTGCTCTGCAACTTTTCATATGTCGCGGCCATGCACAATTGGCAGCGTGCCGAGCGTGACAAGATCAACGTCTTGCTCAGAAAGATTACCAAGGGGGCCCTCGGTATCCCGATCAAGGCGCGCACCGAGCGCCTGCTCCAGCTCGGAGTACACAATACGTTGGAGGAGATTGCCGAAGCGCAGGAGCGGGCCCAGCTCGAGCGCCTTTCGAGCTCCCAGACCGGCAGACATATACTCCGAGAGCTCGGTCACTCTCCGGCTGAAGTGGACGAGAAGATGAGACAGGTGCCCCGTGAGATTCGTGACCTCATCACCGTGGCACCGATACCAAGGAATGTCCACCCCGAGCACAATCGTGCTAGGCGACGGGCCAGAGCTGCCACTCTTCTCAAGCAGATTCACAGTGAGGAGCACGGCGTCAGCTTTGTCAACGCGGCAGCGTACCGTGGGAGCCGAGCCTTCTCCGCAGTCGTCGTCGACACCAAACAGCAAATCACCAACTGCGCATCGGTTCACACTGACGATCCGACGATTGCCGAGTAAGTGGCCATCGCCCTGGCCATCCTGGAAGGTGAAAGGGAGGTCATCTATAGTGACTCTAGGTCAGCTATTCGTGCTTTCGAGCGCGGTGTAATCTCCAAGAAAGCCTTGCTCGTGCTCCAGAGTGGTGGCCGCGACGGTATCAAGCACCACGTACTGATCTGGTTTCCTGCACATGTTGGACAGGTCCAAGGCGCTCCCCCCAACCTCAACGAGTCTGCCCACGAGGCCGCGCGCACACTAACCGACCGCGCGGGTTCCGGGCAACGATTCTGGGCCAACGGGGTTGCGGAAAACAGGGACGCGCCTGCCACGTACAACGAAATAACAAAATATTTTTACCTCGCGCGGAGACTATATCCACTCCCTGATCCAAATCTTAATAGGCCACAGGCCCTTACGCTCAGACTACTGCAGACCGACACGTATAACCTGAGATCCCTTCACGCTATTTATCCTGACGTGTTCCCCAATGACGCTTGCCCCGCGTGTGGGGATGTATCCACGCTGGCGCACATGCTCTGGGAGTGCAAGGCAATGTACACTAACTCCAACACTACATCGGTCAGGTGGGAGGCGGCCCTACGCAGCTCCCTCCTGGCCGACCAACTTTGGGCCGTCCAGCAGGCCCGCGGAGCGGCCCATAGGCTTGGCCTAACGGTCCCGACGTGGGAGTCGCCCGCTGCGCGCTGACGCGCGCCTTGCAGGACCTCAATAAAGTTTCGCAACCAATCAACCAACACAGACATCTGCAATGGCGTGTTTCATAGCTTTGTAGAAATAAGCAAGGTGCGGGCATGCATGTACGTGGGTGCTGCGCGCTTCAAAAGAAACAAAAATCGGCTCGCGTGTTTCAACCGTGCGCATACAAGTAAATGACCCAAGCACGTAATTCTCGTTTACAGCACACTGCGGTTGCTTATGAGCGTTGTGTGCACATACTCTATCGCACTTATTTGGCATTGTCACTCTGATTTTTGTTAAACGTTATACGTGTGTGCTTGGTCACGAATATTTCCCTCCCTGCTTTGGCACTCTACAGTGATGCGTTTCATTACCATGCGCATACCTTTACCGTTCTTTACAGATGTCTCTAACTCCTCTGTGTCCTACGCTGCTGTCGGCCCATCCTTTTCGGATGCTGTCCCTCTACATACAGATGCAAGTATCTTCATAGCGGAAGCTTATGCAATACTTGTGGCCGCTAAACACATCGAACAATTACAACTACAAGAACAGTAATTAATACGGACTCTCTCAGTGCGGTAACAGCTCTGCAAACTCTTAAAGAACAAAAAAAACATGTCCTCGTCTCACTTTATTTTATGCACACTATACAAACTTAAACAACATGTTGTATAGTGTGCTGGGTGCTGCAGGGCACCGTGAGATATAAGACAACGTGATGGCGGATTAGCTTGCTGCATCCGTCCACGAAAGCACTGCCACTATCTATATCAATCCCGGCCCTTGACCTTAAACCGTCTCTCAAACGAAAGCTCAGGGACTACTGGCAGAGCAAGTGGTATACACACACACAAAACAAACTACACGTTATTAAGCCACACCTTGGTCATTGGCCGCCAGTATCGAAATCACGTGGTACAGAGGTAACACTAACAAGGCTCAGGATAGAACACACATACACGAAACACTGGTATTTTTTGTCTGGTGGCGATCCACCATTGTGCGACAGATGTGGTGAAGCGCTAACAGTTTTTTTTTTTCATTTTAGTCCAGTGTGAACAATTCGACACTCTAAGAAGACGGCACTTTCCATTACCCTACCGACAACATATACCATTACACCCTGCAATGTTCGTCGGTAAGGAACCACTTTTCACTCATAAACCTGTGCTAGCTTTTTAAAGAGATGTCCGCTTTTGTCATGTATACCTAGGCATTGCGTAGCGCAACCTCTCGAGAGATGTTGATGCTGCGGTGGCTACACTGAAAAGCACTTGCCTTGCGGCCCTTGGACACGAGGGCGCTGATGAGGCACTTGAGCTAGTGCCAAATATCTTCACACATACTTTCATTATCAGAACCTTTCGCCGCCTATTTTTACTATACGTTTCACGTCACTGTTATTATTTTATTACTTCTATGTTTTACCCACTTAAGCGCGAGGAATTTTAAGACCCTTATACAGCCATCCAACATATTCATTGTTCACATTTCGTTTTATGACCTGGCGCTCTTTGGCCATGTAATGCCACAAAACCCCACACATCATCGTTTATTATTCTTTTTTTCTTATCCTTGTATGCATCGCTGATGTTGGGTTAGCCGGCTTTAACGTAGCTCAACTTCCTTCTTTTTCCATATATAATTTTAAAAAAAGCAACGCCACAAGCTCTGACATCAAATCAAAGGCTAGTCACGCAGCAATTGATAAGGCATCAGTCATATTTGATGATGATGATGATGATGATGATGATATTCCCGG